TAACCTTTATGGAATTATGGTAGAGCCAATTAGCCTATAGCCTAAGTTTGATTCATACCCCCTAGCCTCTTGTCATGTAAAGTATAACCCTAGTTGTTTCTATTTCTATCTGTTCGTCTGTGTCAATAATTGAGGGAAGGACCGTCCAATTATTTTATTGATTTATTTATACTTAATAATACTTATTATTAAATTATTATTGTCATGATTGTGGTGTAGATATCGGCATCGGTATATGATATGTTTTGTTTTCCAAAATGGAGTCAACTGTGATGCGGCTATTAATAGTTCAGTTCTTTAGCTCTCTCATGGAGTCTTCAGCCGAGGTCACTTTGTGGTATGGGTGCATCCTCGAAGGCTTCAAAGAAGCCGCGACGTGTGTGTGCATTCAATGTGTTCCAGCAGAGCAAAATGAAAGGCAGATCGGCTCAGCAGAATACCGCGATTTGTTGCAGAGAGTGAAGTTGGAGTGGGACCACACATCTCTGGAAGGCCGTGCAGTTTACGAAGCACGAGCACACGAGCAGAACCTAGCCCGCGCAGCACAATGCCGCCAAACATTGAGGGACACCGAATGCCAGGAAGCCACTGCTTCGGATGTGTTGTCGTCTTCGCAGCGCAAGCGGCTGGGACAAGTGCAGCTCAATCAATCGCTGAAGGCCTTGGCCACTCATCCAGTTTGGGCATCTGGATTAGGGATCTGTGATCATAATGCCGCATTGAAGCCCAGCCTCGTTCAATGTGTAGACCCTGAATCAGCGGTTATGGCAGCCTTTGATTATCTACCGGCTGCAGAGCCGAACCCAGCTGAGATGCCGCACATCTTCTGTAGTTGTGCAGAGCTTCATCCAGGTGTTTGTAAGAGCGAGACAGGCTTGTTTGCAGAAGTGGTGACCATGGTGCAACAGTTCCAACGTTGCCTGGAAGTGCACAAGATCCTGGGTGTGTCTCTCTTCAACATGCAGGTCGAGTCGACTTCTTTGTCGTGCTCGACCTCCTCCTCAAGAGACATCTCGGAGCCGTTGTGGCTGCTGATGGGTTGTGTCAGTAAGAGGCCGCTATCTCATGTAATGGGAAGGCTTGTCCCCCACAGGCTTGTTGCAGATGTCGTGACCCCGCTCGTTGCAGACTCTATGTGGCAACTACAGACACTTCATGGCATTCTGCGTGAGATTTCCAAACGGGTGCTGGCTGAGCATTCAGAACTGAGAAAATTGCGCGTTAAGTGTTGCTATCACTCTTTCGAAGCAGTATCCAGTGTCGGTGATGCAATGAACCATTTTCGGACAGGCTCGGCTATTGCTACTTTTGTGATTGGCCCTGAAGTTCCATTTGAATTGAAGCCTCCACGACAAGTTGCGACTTCCTTCAGGCCCTTTGGAATCTCGTTGGACAAATCATCTGGGAGGGGACGTGGACGGTCCCGCGGCCGTGGTCGTGAAGCCAGTGCCAGGCCTTCTGCGAAGATCAACAAAAGTGCATCTAGTGTCAGTGGGGAAGCAGGACCGGCGGTCGAGCTAGAGCAAGAGGATTCGAGCCCAGAGGATGCGGAGCCGCCTGTCGCAGGTACTGCTGCTTTTGCTTTCGACCGGATGCAGAAGCACGACACAAGCCCAGTCGAACTCTTGTCAGACGATCTCCAGCAGGAAGTGGCAGCCGCAGCAAGGACGGTGGCCAACCAGGGCGGCGATTTCGATACAGAGGATCGTGCAGCATCGGAAATACATTCGGAGATTGCTCGGGCTCAAAATCGTGACGTTGATGATGTTGCTGCTGCTGCCAGTGCTTCTAGGGGCGGTGCTGAGGCTACGGCTACCACTGGCCCTAATCTGGCCGCTGACCGTGGCGACCTTCCTTTCAACACCAGCCTTGGGATCGTGGGATGCAGCATTCTCCAGAGGCGCACCAATTGCTTCATTTGCAAGCAGTCCATCAGCAAAGGTGACTACCGCTTGGAATATGCATCTTCTGCGAAGAAGCCGTCCCGGTCCTTGCATCCCGAATGTGTTTCCAGTATTGCTACAGAGTCGACTGTCGCAGCTTCGCTGGATTGGCTGTCCACAGAGTTGGTCAAGCCTGCTTTGGATGCTGAGAAGGCATCGCTGTTGCAAGATGTTCGTAGCAGGATCCTTCGATGTCAGTGCACCGGTGCTTGAATTGTTTGAAGTGCAATGTTGAAATTCAGACCATGAATATTATAGGCTGATAGGCTCAGAATCTCAAGCGATGGGCAGAACGCAAGAGCCGAATGTTCCAGTTTCGCGGACCATCGCTGTGTCCTCTGCCTCTGCAAATTCTAGTTCTAAATTAATACTTAGGTGACCCTTTAAATTACCCTAAATCCCAATTCCTTAAAGCTTGAATTAGAGTCAGAATCCGTTTTACAATCGTACAAA